TACTAAACTTCTATAGTTATATAATAAAAACCTAAACTATTCGATGAGTTGGTGAATAAACAATTTATCAGAATTCTTCCATTCCTGGTTTTAGCGCAATTGTGTTGCGCAGCTACCTTATTAGTATATATATGAAAAACTATACTGTAATAATTATTCAAACAATGCAATACATAATTTGTATTATCAGAGTTAGAAGTAGTCACCGATCATGTCACCGTGCTATTTTTTCGCTATAACTAACCCACCTAATATCATAGTCTATAACTGATTAATAAATCATAAACTAACACTATTTTATATAGTAAAGCAGATTTTACTCTCATATATATATATAGTGAATTTAACCAGAATTCAGTATGGGTTTTACTCTGTTATATTTTTATTAAATTTTTTATTAAGTTTATTTATGGTATTAAAATATATTAAAGATAAATTATTTAATACCTGAAAACCAAAGCATTGAGAAAGAAGCTGATATCATAATTTTATTAATTCATAACTATTTTTGCTTATATGGGTTTGGTGAAAAATACGTAACAATCCATACAGATAACTGTGCAGGACAGAACAAAAATAATTCAGTAATTAAATATATTGCATAGCAAATTATAAATAGACTATATAAACAAATTATTTACTTATTCATGGTTGCAGGACATACTAAGTTTAGTCCTGATAGCTTTTTTGGACTTTTTAAATTTAAATTACATAATTCAAAAGTAGATAGATGACTTAGATGACCTTGTTCAGGTTGTTAATCATTCTACAGTAGGCGGGTATAATATTGCACAGACTCTTAGTAGACCAGATGGCTCAATACAAGTTAAATTTTATCAATAGACAATTTTTAAATAACTATTTTTTGACAATTCCATCAATTCTTTGACAGCATCACTTTATACTAAGTCATGATTCTTTAGGAAAAGTTGAAATCATAATGGTGACAAGACAACAGTGAATTTACTTTGTAAAAATACCAAGCTACCTACTAAAGATGAATTTTCTAATGAAATAACACCTTCTGATTTGAGTTTGGAACAACAGTAGTACCTTTATAAAGAAGTAAGACCACATATTTAAAATCTATCCAAGCATGATTTTTATTGTTCAAGGCCACAGCAGCCCAAACCAAAAAAAACAACATAAATAGTAACAATTTTTTACCTTTTTTCAGCTTGATATCTTATAGCTTTATAAACAATATAACAATATTTTGTACAGAAATATCTTTTTTCTTTAAAAAAAATTACAATGTTGGTTAATAAATAGAAATGTCTTTTTTTTTAAAAAACAAAAAAAATAATTTATTTATGAATAATATAACTTTTGATGAAAATTAAGTGATATGCTTATAACTTGAACATGTTTTATAAGAATATTAAGAATATTAATAAAAAGAATATTCATACTCAATTATCTTTTAAAAAGATCGATCCATGTATAGTAAAAATAAAAGATGACAGAACAAAATGATAGTTTAGCAATTCAATTAATTTATATAAAATTTATTTTAAGGCACTTCAATCTTGCTGTATTAGAAATAAGAACAAGGGTAGTAATGATTTCACTATGATATTATAGCTTTTAAAAGTATGATATTACTAATATATAGTATTTTCACACTAATTGATTTATCCAGAACCTACTAACCAACTACTAACCAACTAGCTATTTAACTTAAACAGAATTAAAAGTCTTTTGGGTTTATTAACTAAAGATTAATAATGCTTACTACACAGCTCATAATATAAAAGCCTGAAATCTATAAAAAAAGTAAAAATTTAATTCACATTATAAATGAACAAGTTATTGTATATTATAAACAAGTTACTGTATATTTTTATAAATTATTATTCGCTTTTGTTGAATCTTTACAGCCGTTTATAAAATCATTACTATTATTACCATTATTATATGAAATAATTTAAAATGTTTTATTCTATTTAAATATAGAGTTATATTAATTCAATTAAAAACTTTTTTGAAAAGATTTAGTCTCATACCGATAATATATTTTAAACAACTTGTTAATACCTTTGAAATATATATTTCTAATAAATAAATAAAATAGAAAAAGAAAATTTTATACTTGGGGGCATGTATATATTAAATGTTGCGGCTAAAGCTGGAAATGGCTGAAGCTGAAAATTTTAAATATTTTAATATGAAATTTTCAAATTTTTTTGGGGTGCATTTTTTTAGCTTTTTTTTAATGGTTAGATTAGGATTTAGGGTTAGTTTTGATAATGAAAGAGTATAAGTAGATTTTGGCAGGGTTTATATTTTTAAATCAGAGTTTCTGATTTTCCGCTTTAGCCGTTTCCAGCATCAGCCACGACATTAAATTTTAATGATCTACTTTTTCCGAAGTGGATCAGAATTAAGGTCAGGAATTGATCAGAATTAATATCGAGAATTGTTTATTTTGAAGATCTGTTTATATAATGTTACAAAAAACGTCAATTATCTCAAAATTAGATTTTTGTAGATCTGCTTGATTTCTATTGACAGCAGCCTAAATTAGTTTTAAAGCTATAGTATGCATCCAAAACTCTTGACTAACAAATGTAATGAAAATGTTCCAGTAACACAAGGGGGATGTATACGTTACAGAGGGTTTAAATAGATAATCACATAGCAGCTAGTATAGAACTTATAGTGTACAGTTATCTATATGCGAACTACTTAAATAGGTGCTCAAAAGATGCATATGTAGCTAGTTGTACTCTCTAATGTAATTGGCATTCTGTTGTGAACTTCCTGCCCAATATACTTAAATAAAAATCCTTATGCCAAAGAGGCTAGTTAATAAAAAAAAATATTTGGTACAAGCAAGTTTAAAGTAAATATATTGAAATGCCATTTAAAGTTATATGCTATATGATTATAAAAGTATATTCATTTATATTGCTTATTAAATTGAACTACAACTAAGGCTATATATATAAATAAAATTGATTCTCGTCACTAGGAATGGAGAAGTTTGGTTTGGTTTGGTTTGGTTTAATTCAAATTTGATTAATGCATGATCTGCATAAGTAAGAATTTATATTAGATCAGACCAAACTTCCCCATCTCTACTCATCACCTGGTCAGGTTACTTTTTTATAAAAGGTAAAATGTTTTTTTATAATAACATATATACAGTTTTGTAATGTTATTTATACAGTCAATTCTCTGCAAATTCTCCTTTTTTCTTGTTTTAACATCGCAATAAAATACAGTATTTTGCATTAAGAGTAATTATTATCATGCATGATAATTTCTATAATGCACATTTTCTAGATCAATATCCTGACTAACTCGCCTATATTTCATATTTCTTGATATTTTTTGAACTTTTCTGAACTCTTCTAATATTCCTAATTATATTATCTGGCCTAAATTAAACATACACTGCTTTCAATTTTGTCTAAGAATTCATTGCTGTCAAAAATACTATTTTATACAAAAATTCTGTTTTATTTATATATGAATTTTCCCATATTCTTGGTATATAGTATATTAAATAGAATATCGATATTATGTATATACAGTATAATGATAATTCAAATGTTCGCTAAATCGATATTCGTTGATTCTACTTTCTTGTCTTATTGGTGTATTAGCGATAACCTTTTTTATATGTAATTATAGAAGATGTAGGGCCAGGGTGTTCCAAGTTTTTAAATTAATAATATTGTGTAAGAGCAAAGTTATAACTTCATATAGAACAACTCATATAGATAAAAAGAACATTTTTTTGAATGAATTTAGAAGCAAAATCTGGGTTATAATTTTTTTTTTAGATTAACTCAAATATTATTTATATTGACTCTAAGTCACTGCACCATATTGAAGTGAACTAAAACATTACTATATATAAAATACTCAAATTGACTATCATATTCAAATTTATTCCAAGCCATTAGGCTAAAAAAAATATAGAATTATTTGCAGAAACTTTTATGTGGCTTTTTTTGGTAGTATCTTTTCTGTTTCTGAGTTATATAAATATTTCAATCACATTGTTAATATTTGAACTAGTTATAGTACATACCATTATATAACCAATTTAAAATTGCACAGATAATATATTTACAAGAGCCTTTGTTCATACCATAACCCTTTTTTTTAACTGCTTTTTTTTAGCCTTAAACTTAACTTCTTGGCCTTTTTTTTTTAGCTTTAATTGTAGTATAGCATTCAGAGCAATATGGTTGTTCACTAGCAGGAGTTGGAGAAAAGATTTCTGTATCACCACACTGGAAGCAAACATCTGGATAAAGATGAGAATAAAAGTATAGAATTTCTATTGGTATCACACAGGTAAGCTTGGCATTAACAAATACCCGTTTGAACAATGTCTCTAAAGATAAACTATTTTCTGTGTTTTGTAGTTCTGTAAACAATTCATCGACAGAACTTTCATTAGCAAACTTTGCATCAACAGACCTTTCACCATCTTCTATATTATCGTCATCATAGTTATCATCACTATTTATATTATTATCTATATTTTGAAGCTCAACTTCGTCATTATCTATGTTGCAGTTATTATCATTTCTAAATAAGGATGAACTAGCTTTTGTGAGATCTGTAATTCTATAAAATGTTGTGCTACATGTATAATCAATTGTTACTAAAAAATTTTTAAGAAAATTTTCCTCCTCTGGGTTTAAATGATATTATAAATAGAGAACTCGTGAACGGTTATATTCAATGCATTTGACCAAGGCACAAACATTTTTTGCATATTGTGCTCGAGGACTGAAACTCATTTCATTAATATTAAGACCATCAATAGTTATAGTAGTTGGTAATGTAGATACATTAACTTTTTAAAGCAATGATGAGCAGTATTTTTCACTGGTATCCTTATCATATATTTCACAGAATGGCATATAATAGTCTTTATTTGCTTTAAAAATAGGATCAGGAAAGAGTCACAACTTTGAAAATACATTAAGTCCACTTCGTGGCAGTCTACAAATTGTACAACGTGTTTCAGCTTCTTGGTATTTTTGAATTTCAAAAAAATATGTTTTCAAACGACAGCAATAATTTATGAATTCAAGAATACAGTGCTACATATATACATACATTTGTAAGTAAATAAGAATTTAGAGAGGTAAAAATATATAAGTATTATATTGGTTGGGCCAAGTAAAGATATGCAATTGGGCTTTTCATAGAGCCCGCATTTGAATTTACTAATTTTCCTACTACTTCTGATTGGTTCTACTAGTTAATCACATATTAGAGTATCTGCATTATTAATCAATTTTATAGTTCTCTGATAGTGAAGTGGTAAAGGAAATTAGTACACCCCGTATATTTAGAAAGAGTGCATCTAGAGGGTCTGACTGTATAAGTTACAAATTTTCGAAACTGACTTTATTTTCAATATATTTCTTAGATGTATCTTCTGGTGCTAATGAATCATCTACTTCAAGTACTGATTCCCATAAATATTCTATGTCTCGATCTGTTGCTGCTTTAAATACAAAAAAATTTTCTCCCTTAAGTTGCAATCGTTCAAAAATATTATGCATAATAGATTTAGTGAATTGCAAGCTTTCAATTATTCCATTTTTAAGCTGGGGTATTCTATCGGCTTTATTTCAGATTTTATTTATTGTGTTGCAACTCTTCATTAAATTTTCTAATTCTTCATTCATTTCAGTTCTCATAAAGCCAACACATTGCAATCCAAGGTTTAAAATAGACATAACACGTTCAACTGAGTTTTTCCATGAATGTCCCAAAGGTGTTCGGATAGCAACCAAAAAATCAAGATCCAAGGTTAAAAAAATTGCAATCAATGCAAGTTGTATATGAAGAAAGTTTACACAGTAGTCTGGTCTACCATCAGTGTATAAAAAAAGATAAGGCTTATTATTATCAATGTTTTTTAAAATGTTAAATAAATCAGTAATATATCGTATTGGACTTGATGGTTCAAATATACAATCTTTTAAACCAACATAAACCTTCCCAGTATAAAATGATTCTTCATTTGTTTTAGGTATATTGCATAGTATTGTAATACTTGGGATAATCTCACATTTTGTAAAATCATGATCACCCACAACAAATATTGTGTTGCAATTAACAAGCACTCGTTTTCCTCATTCTACAGTTGCGACTAGGCACCTGGATTTACCGACTTTACAACAATGTTTATCATCTATAAAAACAAGCTGGGCATCATTTTGAAACATAATGGCTATTTTTTTTAGATATCGAAATAACATTAAAGCGTAATGCATATCAATGTATTCACATCGAAGTTGACAAACCTGAACTATAAATTTAACAGATAAAATGCCTGTATACTGTAAGCTGTTTTTTATTTGTTAGTGTGGTTGGCCAAAATTGTAAGCAAAACCAATGTGTTGATAGAATTGGTGCTTGTGGATTAATTTTTATCACCTCTTGTATTATTATATCACAAAGGTCATGAACTGAAATAGCCTGTGCAAGGTGCACAATCAGGTTATATCTTCTTTCATCAACTGCAACTACTGCTTCTTGTACAGTACCTTCTAAAAATCACTGCCCACAGCCCAGAATTTATTGTACTTCTCTGGTTGACCTTCATTAAGTTCTTTTAAATCACAAATTATCTTGAGATCATTTAGTTCAAAGGCTAAACTAACATGTTCATCTACTTCTTTTTGATTTGTTGTTTCTGCAGCTGAAGTGTCGTTTGTCAATTCCTTATATATACATCTCAACTTTGCCTTTGGTTGTTTATTTAGATGAAGTTCACATATGTCCATATACTCTCGACGCATACAACGTATATAATAGGTAGATAAATATTTTTTTAAATCCGTTCGAATTTTATAATGCTGATCAACAATTTCCTCTTCTGATGCTTCTTTATTTATATGCCAAACATGTATTGTATTGCAGACATTACTATGATGGTAAGTATAGACCCCAACTTTAAATGTAAATTCAGCTTCTAAATTTGTTATATATCGATGTTTTTGCCTATATGTATTTAATTCGGCATAAGAAAAATTTTTTTTCTACTTTTTTTTTTTTTTTTGTATATATTAAAATACTTATATACGTATCATTAAGAAGCAAAAGTCATCAACCAAAATTGGTTGCCAGTATTGTTTGGATCTTAAGGCTAATGAAAGGTTTTTATATTTTATGGTATTTTCTAATATACATTTTATATTTGCTATTAATATTTTTAACTGGCTATTATCAAATTCATTAATTATGGGTTGACTGAATTCTTGATTTTGAGCTGTTACTGTACATTTGTGAAAAAAATATTCTGTATATTTAGAGAAATCTTCACTGAGCTTTGTTACCAGTTCTTTAAGAAATTTTAAGAATGGTAATCTTGTCATCCATCAGTGAGTAACGTACTTAAGAAGACAGTCACTATGTTCATTAAGCTCTTTAACGTTATATCTAGGCCAAGCATATTTATAATTTAGTAGATTATTATACCCCATGAAACTTTCAAAAACTTTTGGTAAGTGATATCGTTGGGTAAATATATTATGATTACACCCATCTATATACCACAGTGCCTTAGTTAGATCTTGAATAAATAGTTTTCCAATTGTCTCAGCCACATCTGGTTCTATCCAGCCTCCATTTTCTTTCTTTATCTACTTTGTTATATCACTTTGTAGCTGTTCTTTTTTATTTGGCTTAATATTAGATTTCTATATTAGAAGTGAAATAGAGTTTTGAGTATTAAGAATTATGTCAAAAGGGTTGGTATATTAATGGATCGATGTTGTTTGAAATGTATATAATTTAAAAATAAAATGCTTTTCATAATCTATTACTATTTCTCACAAATTACATTCAAGATCAACATCTTGATTAACTGTAGTTTTTGAATTTTCACATTGTGCTTCGATTTTTTCAGCTAGAGCCAAATGTTCATTTAACATATTATTTTCAACAAACTCTAAAAAAAATTGTTCAATTGTAACATCCATTTGTACTGGTATTACTTTCCAGTCAAACAATATTTTTGATTCTTAGGTTATTTGTATATTTATTGCAGGCATAGTGTAAGAGAAAGTACCGGTATTATAATTTTTTTTAAGTTGAAAAATTAATGAATTGAGTGGTAGTTGTTTTAATGTTTCATATATGGTTATGTGGTTGATGTAAACTGAAGTATCATGATACAGGCTAGTGAAATACAAGATCAAAGTTATCCATAATGAAAGCTAACACCTGTATAATTTAGGTAATTATAATTATGCTTGTAGCAATGGAATAATCAGGATTTGGGCAAACATGACTTTCATACCATGAGTATGCAGCTAAAATCATTTTATCGTTCAAATACATAGGTGAAGCATAACTAATTATATCAAACTAAGCAGGGAAGTAGGAATTAAAATTTAAAATAAGAAAAAAAAAAGTAAAAAAAATTTCATTATATTTACCATGGTATCAAAGTGAATCAAGAAAAATTTTGTGATTATAACCATAATAAAATTCATGAAGATTGTCTTGATTTTATACTCTCCAATGTGCTTATTTTTATAAGGTTAAATATATTATACTAGTATGTGTATGAACATATGTGTTATTATAGATGTGCACAGAAATTCTATAAAGAAATTAAACCAACAAAATAGCCTATTGTTGAAATTTTCTTTTTTAAATTTCAGTGTATATCGAATATATATTACTATGATTATACATATATACGCCTGCAGGGTTGCTTTCAAATAAAGGTATAGTCACTATAATTATATGTACGATATACATACGTACATAAATATGCCTGCAGGTTGCTTTTAAGTAAAGATATAGTCTTATACTGCAAATCAACACGTTTAATCTTGTATATATATATTATAATACAGGAAATCTTAAAAACGGGTTTGGGCCCCGTAGCTTATTGGTTAAGCTCCCAAACCCCCACAGACAAGGTCAACGGTTCGAGTCAGGCTGGTGGCAAATTTTCGAATTTGTTACTGTAACTATATAGAGCCATAATCGAATGCGAAGCCCTGTGGAAAGTCCAAGTGCAAGTACGGGTTTGGAATAGGAATTCCTGGAAGGAG